TTACAAATTTTGTTAGTAGAAAGACATCAAATATGATACAGAGTTTGTTTTATCTAGCAATGTTGCAAACTTGCTAGCAAAAATATATCCAAACTTGTTAACAAAACATAACAGCAAATTGTTGGCAAAAACCGAGCAAAGCTTGCACATAATTTGAGACCAAATTGACGCCAAATATGAAGCAAGATCTGCGCAACACGACTTGATAGCAAAATAACAGCAAAAACCGAGCAAGACTTGCAGTTCAGTCAAACTATATGGTATTTAAAAGGCCATTTAATTATATTGTTGCGAGATGCGGCGCGTGTCGTCCACGCGGTATACGAAGATGTTCGTCGAACGATCGATTGCTTAGATGCTTTTGTTCGGGTAGCAACAGAGTTGTTTACGGCGAGGTTCAAGAGGAAGTTTTGAAACCGGACTCGGAACCGACAAGAAGCTGGACTAACGGCTCAAGTTTTCTTCGCGCTTTTACCGCGGCTTTGTAACGCATACATTAATAAAGTAGTTGTGAGATTTACGCGGTGTTATTTTCTTTTCGCGAAGCGAAGCAACGCGGTCGGAACGTGACGAAACGCGGTCGCGGACGCAACATTTGGGAGCTCGTCCGCGGGATAGAGTTCGAGAGATCGACGGCATGGCTCTTGTGCACTCGCCGCTGAGAACGCGCAAGCAGATCGCGGCAGGAGCGGCGGAGGCGTCGGCGGAGCCGGCGGCGACGATAGACGTCGATATGGAAGACGATTCTTCCGTTGCAAGAAAGCGCGGACGGGGAGAGACGGCGACAGAAGCCACGGCTCTTCAGTTCGCTTTAAAGGAAATTCGAGAGCTGCGGGAAGAGCGATAGCGTGAGCGCGAGTTGTTTTGTCGGCGAGAAGATGAATTTGGCGCCTTCGTACGGCAGCGAGAATAGGAGTTTCGGCGTTTGGAAGAGCGATTGCGACAGAGCGTTACAGGCGAGTCATTTCCAAATTCATTAAATCGCGCGGGCGCTACATCAATGAGTGTTAAAGTAAAGCCGGATGTGTTTGACGGAAGCGGGCCGTTGGGGGAGTTTTTGACGCAGTTTGAGTTGGTCGCGCGCGCGAACGGATAGGACGGAAAGGCAAAGGCGTTAATGTTAGCGACGAATCTGCGGGGAAAGGCGCGTTCTGTGCTGGAGGGATTGGAGGGGGAGTTTTCGTACGGCGAGGTGCGTTCCCGGTTGGAGCTGCGTTTCGGAAAGCAGAAGCTCTTCCAGAGTTATTACGTTCAATCTACGAATCGTAAACAGGGAAGCGGCGAGGATTTCGCGGCGCTTGGCGTAGACTAGGAGCGTTTGTCGCGTCTCGCGTATCCTGAGTGTACGCATGCGGTCCGGGAGAAGATCGCTTGCGCGTAGTTTATTGCCGCTCTTTCCGACGGCTTTGTTAAGCGCACGTTGCAGTTGGAGAACGTGACCTCATTGAAGGCTGCCGTTGAACGGGCAATAACAATTAAATTAATATAAGGAAATAGTTTCCGGGGCGGAGAGGGGTCGAATAATTTTAGAAGGAACGGTGATCATCGGGAAAACGGGCAAACTTCTAGTTTCAAAGGGGGAAAAGACGCCCGCGACGGGGGCAGAGTGGCTGGTGAACCGAAGGGGGCGCAGAAGCTGGAAGCTGGAAGAGGTAAAAAAGAAAAGGAGTGTTGGAAGTGTGGCAAGAAAGGTCACTTCCGTTACAAGTGCCCGGCCAGCCTTTCGGAAAACAAGGTTTAGTCGAGCTTTCGGGGGGTAGGTTCGGCTTTGAAGGGGAAAAAGTTTGTTGTAAATAGAGTAAATTTTGGGAGAAATAATTCGTTCGTGTTTTCCGGCTTGTTAAATGATAAAGTGTGTTCTTTTAAATTTGATACGGGCTCCGATGTGTCGATCGTGAATTTTAATTTTGTAGAAAGGTCGCGGTGTCAGAAGTTGCTAGAGAGGCCGAGTTTGAGATATCCTACCGAGGAGAAGGTTCCTGTTGAATTCAGATATGTGGCTCGAATAGGGGACGTTCTTTGAAAATGCCTCTTTATGTAGCGGATATATTCGACGACTATATTCTAGGCCTAGATTTTTTCAGGAAGACAGAGTTGGATAGGATGATGAAGACTCTCATTGTTGCTCCTTCGGGTGGAGCGAAGAAGATTTGCGGTCGAGTGTGTGATGTTGCCGTGGGAGTTTCGGATAGTTTAAAAGAATTTTATGAACGAAACGCAGTCGATTTGGATGAGGCGCAGAGAAGCGTTTTTGCTGAGTTCTTGATCGAATTTCAGGATGTCTTCTCTGATCAGATCGTGGCTGGAAACTGTGATGTTTTTCACCATGAAATTAATCTGCAAGATCCTTGTCCAATTAAGCAAGCTTCGAGGAGGGTTCCGTTGGGAATGCGGGCTGAGGTGGAGAAAATTCTTCAGGAAATAAAGGACCAAAAGGTCATTGAAGAATCTTCTAGCCCGTGGGTTTCCCCGGCGGTGATTGTAAAGAAGAAGGACGGGAGTTTAAGATTTTGTGTGGATTATCGCAAGCTTAACGCGGTCACGATCAAAGATTCTTATCCTCTTCCTAGGGTTGACGATCTTTTGGATCAATTGTCCGGGAATGAGTAGTTCTCTACTTTGGATATGAAAAGTGGATAGTGGCAGTTAAAAATTCGACTAGAGGATAGGGAAAAGACTGCTTTTTTAATAGTCAATGGATTGTGGCAGTTTACGGTGATGCCTTTCGGTTTGTGCAACGCTCCAGCCACTTTTGAGCGCTCCATGGAGCGTATTCTTTAGCAGTTGCTAATCAAGATTTGTTTGTTTTATTTGGATGACGTAGTTGTTTTTGGTAAGTCTTTCGAGGAGGAGGTAGCCAATTTGAGTTTTTCTGAGGCTTAGGGCAGCTAATTTGAAGCTTAATCTTAATAAATGTAATTTGTTTAGGAAGCAGGTGAAATATCTTGGACATGTGGTTTCGGCCGAAGGGATCTCGACGGATCCAGAAAAAATTGCAGCTGTGGCGGAGTGGCCTGTTCCGCAAAATAAGAAACAAGTTTGTAGTTTTCTGGGATTTTGTTCTTATTGGCGTAAATTTGAAGGGGTTTTTTTTTATTGCGAAGCCGCTGTTTGCTTTAACTGAAAATCAGGTTAAGTTTGTTTGGACAGAGTAGTGTCAGGAGGCGTTTGCGATTCTTAAGCGGATGTTGTTTTTTTCTCCTGTGCTTTCTTTTCTTCTTGAAGAAGGAGAATTAATAAACTAATAAATATATATTCGGTCATGAGAGCCGTTTGCTAGGTGTTGTGCGGAAATTATACGTGTATATATATCCATATATACGTGTTCACATGTAAATTTTTACACGTGAAATTCGAATTGAAAATAACANGCTAGGTGTTGTGCGGAAATTATACGTGTATATATATCCATATATACGTGTTCACATGTAAATTTTTACACGTGAAATTCGAATTGAAAATAACAATTCTAAAATTCATATTGGATGCTATACTTGCATCTCGTATATGAGAAATCCCAAATACCCCCCTAATTGAAATTAAATTTATATTGCAAAAAAACTCCTCGGCCAGGAGTCGAATCTGGAATCTCCGTGACGGCTTTCCGTGCCGTCGCCTTTCCTATTCGGCCACCGAGGCACTTGGAGTTCTTCTCGCAATATTCATATATATATATATTCGAACAACGCCATCTTCCTCTAGCGTGAATTAAACAATTAAAGAATCTTTTCAGGCTCTGAAGTTTCTAAACTAATAAATATATATTCGGTCATGAGAGCCGTTCGCTAGGTGTTGTGCGGAAATTATACGTGTATATATATNTTTTCAGGCTCTGAAGTTTCTAAACTAATAAATATATATTCGGTCATGAGAGCCGTTCGCTAGGTGTTGTGCGGAAATTATACGTGTATATATATATCCATATATACGAGTTTTTTTCGCAATATAAATTTAATTTCAATTAGGGGGGTATTTGGGATTTCTCATATACGAGATGCAAGTATAGGATCCAATATGAATTTTAGAATTGTTATTTTCAATTCGAATTTCACGTGTAAAAATTTACATGTGAACACGTATATATGAATATATATACACGTATAATTTCCGCACAACACCTAGCGAACGGCTCTCATGACCAAATATATATTTATTAGTTTAGAAATCTCAGAGCCTGAAAAGATTCTTTAAGGAGAGTTAATCTTGGACACAGATGCTTCCGGTCATGGTGTTGACGCAGTTTTATCGCAGGTTCAGCGGAGAACGGAGAGGGTCATCGCTTATTATAGTCGGGTATTGAGTAAGGCTGAGAGGAATTATTGTGTTACTTGGCGTGAGTTATTGGCTATGGTTGATTCAATGAAATCTTTCCATTACTATCTGTATTGGAAGTTTTGAGTTCGCACTGATCATCACTTCACTTAAATGGCTAATGTCTTTTAGAGATTTGAAGGTTAATTAGCTCGCTGGGCGGAAAGGCTTCAGCAGTATGACTTCGAAATAGCTCATCGGAGCGGTCGAGCGCATGGGAACGCGGATGAACTTTCTAGGCGACCTTGTGCGGAATCTTGCTGCAAGTATTGTTCGAAGGTAGAGGTAAGAGATGCTTTGAAGCAAGAAGAACAGGTAGATCGAATACTTTTTGAGGAGGTCGCGTCCGAGAAATGGCGAAAGGATCAGCTGGAAGAAGCCGTTTCGATCATTTTACTTGAAAAAGAAAAGAATTGTCGTCCTTCTTGGGAAGAGGTTTCTGCTAGGGGCCCTTCTTCGAGGATTTATTGGTCTCATTGAGACGCTTTAGTTGTTTCAGATGGAGTTCTGCATAAAAGGTGGATAGCTCCGAATTTGAAGTCAAGTTTTCTTCAAGTAATTGTTCCTTAGAAGAGGGTTGAGCGAATTTTGGAAGAGGCTCATGATGCTCTTTCTGGGGGGTCATTTTGGAGTTAATAAAACGTTAGGAAAAATTCGCAAGCGGTTTTATTGGGCTTCATGTAAAAGAGATGTGGAAAACTGGTGTACATCTTGCAAAATTTGTATTGAAAAAAAGGTCCTTCAGACAAGGGTAAGTCTCCCTTGCAGGTTTTTAATACCGGCGCGCCTTTTGAGAGGTTGCAGATGGACATTTTGGATCCTTTTCCGTCGTCTTTTTCGGGAAATAAATACCTCCTTGAAATTATGGATTGTTTTTCTAGGTGGGTAGAGGCTTTTCCTTTAAAGAATATTAGAGCGTCGACTGTGGCAGAGGTTTTTGTCAATCAGGTAGTTTCTAAATATGGAGTGCCGTTGGAATTACATACGGATCAAGGTAAGAATTTTGAATCTCGACTTTTTCAGGAATTGTCGTGGTTGTTAGGAATGAAGAAAACAAGGACTACTACTCTTCATCCGCAGTCTGATGGGCAAGTTGAAAGACAACATCAGACGATAATGCAGTATTTGTCTAAGTACGTTGATGAGAATCAGAAGAATTGGGATCGTTGGATTCCTATGTTTCTTTTTTGCTTACAGATCTTCTAGGCATGAAACTACAGAGGTTACACCTGCCGAATTGAATTTCGAGCGTGATTTGCGTCTGCCGTTAGATTTGTTACGGGGCTCTCCGCCAAATTACTATTCAAGTTCTTCGGAAAATTATATTCATGAGTTGAAGTCGAAACTAGAGGAGATCCATCAGGATGTTAGAGAGCGTTTAGAAATGAAATCGAACAAGGCAAAGATGCGATACGATTTGAAAGCTAGGTATGTTCTTTTTGATGTTGGGCAAAAGGTTTGGTTCTTTAATTTTCGCAGAAGCAAGGGGAAAGCTCCTAAGTTGATAAATTGAGAGGGGCCTTACGTGGTCGTTAAAAAGTTGAGTGATGTGGTATATTGTATTCGTCGCTCGGATAGGCATAGAAGTAGAGTGGTACATGCAGTTAGGTTGGCTTTGTTTTGCGAAAGGTGGGAGCACGCGTCGGAGTCCCGTGTAGACTAATGGGGAGTATTTTTTTTGTGTTTGAGATGTTGCGGGTAATTGTTTTAAGCATAGTCACTTGTTTAGTTTTCTTTCTTTCAGTTTTAGCTCCGTTGCTACCCCGTCTTTCCGTTTCGTCGTTGGACGTCGGGGAACATCTGCGTCGTTGCGATCTACGTCTTTGAAGCCGTGCTGCAACTCCGCCTTACTCACGGTTTTGAACGTGGTTTTCCGTGGGTCTTTGGGTGAATACCGAGGCGGGGACTTGAGGTGTTCTTTTGGACAATGGGTCGACGTGAGTTTCCCCTCCCTTGTCCGAAGACGGAAGATATTTTGTGGATACTGGAATTGCCCCGAAGGGGATTCTCGGGAAGAGTTTCTTCGGTCAATTGGCTCATTTATTCTGGAACAGCAGTCTGGAAAAGAGCGGGAAGATTGACTTCTTTTTGGATCATCGGGACGATGATCTAGAAGAGAGAAGGGGCAGTGTTGCGAGATGCGGCGCGTGTCGTCCACGCGGTATACGAAGATGTTCGTCGAACGATCGATCGCTTAGATGCTTTTGTTCGAGGAGCAACGAAGTTGTTTACGACAAGGTTCAAGAGGAAATTTTGAAGCTGGACTCGGAACCGACAAGAAATTGGACTAACGGCTCGGGTTTTCCTCGCGCTTTTACCGCGGCTTTGTAATGCATACATTAATAAAGTTGTTGTAAGATTTACGCGGTGTTATTTTTTTTTCGCGAAGCGAAGCAACGCGGTCGGAACGTGACGAAACGCGATCGCGGACGCAACAATATCTTGACTTATTTCTAAATTGTATATACACATTATCTATAATTTATAATATATATAAAATTACTTTTACATTTGAGTATTTAACTTATTTCCAATAATTAAATATTAAAATGACATAATAAAATATTTTTTAGCAAACTAACTATTAGAAAATCTATACAAGCGATGCTAGATGTACGCGCATTTTTTATGTATGTATAAATTTGTAAAGAATTATTGACAGATATTTTAAATTTATTTCTACAAATTATATACACACATATATATATACATATATATATACAGGGTCCGCCACTTAAATCCGGACAAAATTTTTTTTCTCGAAAAAGTTGTTTATTACAGAAAATATGAAAAAACATAAATAGACTGCTTTATAGCTGGGTTAAGGGATCTTTTCTGAGACATTTTACTCAATGT